AGACGGTGGCCCTGGTTGGGAACAGCGGCTGCGGGAAAAGCACGACAGTCCAGCTGATGCAGAGGCTCTATGACCCCACGGAGGGCGTGGTGAGATGGCTCTTGTGGAACTAGATGCTGTAGCACTCAGCAGTTACCCCTGTAGATCACACGATACAAATCTGCAGTGTATGAAGATCACACTTCCTCTTTATTTCAGGTCAGCATCGATGGACAGGACATTAAGACCATAAACGTAAGGTATCTTCGGGAAATTACTGGTGTGGTGAGTCAGGAACCTGTGTTGTTTGCCACCACAGTAGCTGAAAACATTCGCTATGGCCGTGAAAATGTCACCATGGAGGAGATCAAGAAAGCTGTCAAGGAAGCTAATGCCTATGACTTTATCATGAAACTGCCTAATGTAAGTCCTTCCTGATCTTTGTCGTGCTCGAGGTTCACAGAATAGAATGCTGGCCTAATGCATAAGAAGTTAGGAAACTATTATAAATTGGAGGAACCTCCTAAGATAAGATATCAAGATTACTTCAGATTTAAAGCTCCAGGAGCACGAACTAGTAGCAGGATAATTTTAAAAATTGGGGTTGGTTATTACTAAGTGTAAGGAACTGGACATTATTGCCCGTGAGGCTTGGCTTGTTTATGGGATTACTTCCCATCTTAAAGGGTGAGCTAACTCTTTTGCTAAATCTTCCTGTGTTTTCTGTGTTGTAGAAATTTGACACCCTGGTTGGAGAGAGAGGGGCCCAGCTGAGTGGTGGACAGAAACAGAGAATCGCCATCGCACGAGCCCTGGTTCGTAACCCCAAGATCCTCCTGCTGGACGAGGCCACATCAGCCTTGGACACTGAGAGTGAAGCAGTGGTTCAGGCGGCCCTGGACAAGGTCTGTGAGCCTCAGTTCAAACCGACCTGATTTATAAGCATAAGAACATCCCACTGTGAATTCTTCTTAATATTATTTAAAAAAAAGAAAATTTCTGATCACTTCTAAAGTGATCCCTTTAGCTATCAAAATAAAATTGTCAGGCCTCTTTGCATCTATTGGTTTAATTTCTACTCATTTCTCTGGTGTTTTTTGTTTTTTTCTTAAGTAGAGATGAATAAACTTTCATTGAAAAGTACTTGCTAATTTTAAAAATTATACAATGAGAAATACAGACTCCAATGAAAATTGGTCTTTATTGTGATCTTGAAAACTCAGCCTTAGAGATAACCCCGGTGTTTAGGTTTTGTGAGTTTTACTGTTATCAACAAGAGGAAAATATAATCTGAAGGTTCACATTTGGTTTCCAAGATGTTAAATGCCTGTTGAAGACTCCTTGGGACATGAGAAACCTCTTATCCCCGGGAGGGGGGCTGGAGCCGATGATGTTGGAAACTTACCGAGGCCTTGAAATGTCCTTGACTATCAGCAGAGTTTGAGCTTCCTGCAATTCTTGAGTCCGTGTGACCCATTCACCAAATTGGATTTGAGTGCTCCAGCTGTGCCTGGCACTGTGCTTGGTCTCTGACATGTAGTAGTAACCAGGCTAGCTCTGTGAGGACAAGGAATGTGGAGACCTTTTAACCCAAAAGTGCTCTGAGGTGAAGTGTCACAGTACAAGTCAAAGATAAACTCATATTTGTTCCAACTCTCCTCCTCTCTAATAATAAAACAACACTGGATCTTCCTTTAAACATCCTGTCAGTGTGCTTAATAGATTGTTGAGGGAGGAAAAAGCAGGTTACTTTATTTCTCTTCACCTTGCTTATCTGTAATTTCACATCTGTGTTTTCTTACTATTCTGCAGTGGATCTATGTATTAAATTATAAATAAAAACAATTTTACAATTTGCATTTAAAAATAATTTTTCTTCAGAGTGTGAATTTTGGGGGGAATCCAACATGATCCCCTTTGCTTGAAAACATCCAAAAAATTGATCCATTGTCTTCTCTACTTCACAGTTGCTGCCACCTAATTCTTCTAATGTGTATTTTTTTTATCTTCTCAGAGTTTTCCACTTCTCTTTTACACATTGATCCTAATACTTTCTTTTGTTTGTTTGTTTTGAGAATTTTATTGCTAGTTCCTGGAAAGAAATAAAGAGTAACAAAAATCTTAAGCATTGCAAAAGTTACAAAGGTTAAAGAAATCTCAGAGAAGTTCGTGTTATCTGGCTTTGTTCCTTATTAAAATAAAAATGAGATTGGGCATTTAAAAACACTGTCATAGCTCTTCAAATTTTCCACAATGCTTCTACCTAGTAGTAAGTGTCCTTTATTAGGCATTTCCTGTGTATAGGTCACAATGCTTTATGAGCATTATTTTAGTCATCGCAGTTACTCTCATTTTGTGTATATGAATAAACTAAGCCTCATACAGGTTAAAAGATCTGGATAAAATCCTGGAATTCATAAATGGGAGAACTAAGATTTGAGTTCAGATCAATGTGATGCTGAAGTCTGGACTTTGCTTCCTCACATTTATTGTTCACCTTGACCATCCACTGTCCTGTGAGATAGCACATTATGATGCCCAGGACTGATCACTAGCTAGTGAGCACCAGTATGGCACACCGGCCTGTGTCTGCTCTGATTGCCCAATGCCTGGGCTGTAGGCTTTTTTTACTTTTCACAGCCCCTGCTTGTTACTATAAACTTAGGCTGATAAAGATTAAGTGAAATACTTAGAGGCTTACATAATATTAATGTGTGACTATCATATGTGTGCTTATATTTATTATAATAAAATATCACTTCAAGCCCTTATCAACTGACTATACATTTATTGAAGTGAGAGACTGCCTTATATAGCTTAGACAGTTTTCAACGTCCAAGGCACTGGTGTTCAGTAAATACATAAGTTGAATGAATGAACTTTTGCATGTAATTATTCATGTATTCAAAAACTAAATTTTTCTCGCTTCAGGCCAGAAAAGGCCGGACTACCATTGTGATAGCTCATCGATTGTCTACAGTTCGAAATGCTGATGTCATCGCTGGTTTGGATAATGGAGTCATTGTGGAGGAAGGCAATCATGATGAACTCATGAAAGAGAAAGGCATTTACTTCAAACTTGTGATGATGCAGGTATAGTCTGACTCTAGATTTTCCTAAAGTATCTGAGGAATCAGGTGATTTTGCTGTGTTTGATGCTATAAATAAACCGTACTTAACTTGATTATCTTGAAGAGTAGGGAAAAATACTTGTGGATTCAGGATCAGACCAGTTTTTAACATATGTTTTCTGCTCTTGAAAGAAGGGAAAATTAAGAAGGATAATTAGAGAAAAATTAAGGAAAAGTTTCAAAAGATTTAAAGCTGAGTTGTCCATTCACTATGGTAGACAGTACCCCATGTGGCTATTGAGCACTTGAATGGTAGTTAATCTGAATTGAAGTGTTGTAAGTAGGAAGTGCATCCCAGATTCCAAAGACTTAGTACAAAAAAAGAATGCAAACTATCTCAATTATTAAGTTTTTACATTGATTACATCTTGAAATGCTAACATCTTTGATACATTATGTTAAATAAAATATATGATTAAAACTGATTTTAGGGCCGGCCCTGTGGCTTGGTGGTTAAGTGCGCGCGCTGCGATGCTGGCGGCCCGGGTTCGGATCCCGGGTGCGCATCGAGGCACCACTTCTCCGTTCATCCTGAGGCCGAGTCCCACATGCAGCAACTAGAAGGATGTGCAGCTACGACACACAACTATCCACTGGGGCTTTGGGGGGAAAAAATAAAATAAATAAAATCTTTAAAAAAAAAAAAATGGCGTTAAATTGATTTAAAAAAAAAAAACTGATTTTACCTCTTTCATATTTTTTTATGTGTCTACTGAGAAAATTTTAAATGACAACTGTGGCTCACAGTTTGGCTTGTACCATGTATCTGTTGACAGCACCAGTCCAAAGCAAATTTGGTTGAGCCAAAAACACCCACAAAAAGGAGATGACGACATAAGATACATGGAATGGGTGCTGTGTTATTTCAGCATATTCAACGGGAATCGTTCTTATTTAGTGGTTTTAATTTTCAAATATATCATAAAAAAATAAAGAGCCGTTTAAGTTTATCCTTTCCTGTAATTACTTACAAAACCATTTTCCTTGATATCTGATGTTCAGCAATTAATTTTCATTGGTTAACTGAGCCTCATAGGCTTATGCATGTTTCTTGTTTATTTTAGACAAGAGGAAATGAAATTGAATTTGAAAATGCAATTGGTGAATCCAAAAGTGAAACTGATGCCTTGGAAATGTCTCCAAAAGATTCAGAATCAAGTCTAATACGAAGAAGATCAACTCGCAAGAGTATCCGTGCACCACCAGGCCAGGAGGGAAAGCTTAGTACAACAGAGGGCATGGTATGGAGGAGGATGTCAAGTTCTGGCTTCACCCCTCCTGTTGTGGCTTCCTCATTTGGTGGTCTGGGGTGGAGTTAGGAGAGGGAACAAGAAAGGGTTATCCAGAATCCTCCTGTCCTATCCCCCAGAGTGTTCCACAAACCACAATCTCAACATTTTAGACTCAGTTTAGCATTTATGACTGAGATTTATAGGACAAGAATTTTAGAATTAGAATTTATAATATAAAGAGACAGACAATAATCGTTCTTCAATATAAACATTTTCTGTTTATCCCTTCTTGTAAATATTCTTGTTATGTTCCAAACGTTGGTAAGAGTTAAATGTTTGTGGAAATATCATTTATTTCTCAAAAAATAAAGGAATAATGTAACAGCCTGTCAGCACTTTTTTTAAGCTAAATTGCCATCAGTTGATAAGGAAATAGGAATAGGCTATGTTCATTTAAAAATTTTATGCATATGGAAGAAGTGTCCATGATTAAATCAATTAAGTATCAATTCTTTTTCTATCTAGCCTATGGTAATATTTGGTGTTTTCCAGGATGAAAATGTACCTCCAGTTTCCTTTTGGAGGATTCTGAAGCTGAATATAACCGAATGGCCTTATTTTGTAGTTGGCATATTTTGTGCCATTATAAATGGAGGCCTGCAACCGGCATTTGCAATAATATTTTCAAGGATTATAGGGGTAAGTGTTTATGTCCATTTTTGGATTTACCTGTGAGTCCTGACTGAAGAATGAACTGTTTGTTTGTAACTGTATACATAAGCCACAAAAAACACGTACCTTCATACGAAACTAAGCAGCTTGAAGATGTAAGAACAGAAGTCCGCTTTGTGATAGAAAAGCTAATTTTTTGAATCTTCCTTTGTTCTGGCAGTTGGTTTTGATCCTAGGGCCCTCGGGATCAGATCCCTGAAATAGGCGATGACACTGACTAGATGACTGTCCCTCCCCTGCCATCACTGGGCTCTGAGTAAAGCTCCTGAGCTGTTGTATCACCAGAGTGCAAAGAGAGGTCCTCACATGTGTGTCAGACAGGCTTGAGAGAGAGCTGTTCTCTGACATGCGCACTGGGCAGGACACAAGCAGGCCTAGCACGCTGCCTCTGTGAGATGTCCATCCCACTTGTTAAGATGAACACAAGTGGAACAGCTTCCGAAAGACTGAGGTTGACACGTGTTTGTTCTACGTGCTTTCTACAGGTTAGGAATATGGCTCTGTTACTAGACTGACTGTGGCCCATGTGAAGGGAGATGTTTGTTTTCTTTCCCTGTGGAGTGGTTCTTCTCTGTCTTACACATCTCGGGGAAGGTCTCCATGTGTGGTGCTAGGTCAACTGGCTGTAGTTCCCCCACTGGCTATCTGTCTGGCCATCCTATAAAGAAGGCTGGTTCAAGGCACCTTCTTTCTTTCTCAAAGGCCTGGGCTGAGTCAATGACCACCTCTCCCTGGTTCACCAAAACTGTCCCAGCAGATTTTCTGCAGACACCTTGGGACAGTTTGGAATGTCCAAATCATAAAACAATGTATTGGCCTCCAGTGTAGTTTACCCCAAAGGAGGAAGAGAGCGTCGTTCCCATTTCTGCTTTACACAGGAGCTGTGGCACTTGTGGCGCTCGTTACTCCAGGAGGGAGTATGAGCAGAAAAGTATTGGATCAACTGAGGAGTGACAGACCCGTTCTTGGCCCCTAAGGGAGGCAGAGTGCATACACTTCCAGGTTTGGCATTAGGGAGGCAACCCCAACCTCCGTTACACTAAGGCTCTCTTGACCCCGAACCCTGTGCTAGGTGGGAAATGGGTCAGACCCAGAATGGCTTCTTCAGTGGTTGAACTGATAAGCTTTCAATATTTTCTTCACAGGTTTTTACCAGAAATGAGGATTCTGAAACAAAACGACAGAATAGTAACATGTTTGCACTATTGTTTCTTATCCTTGGAATTATTTCTTTTATTACATTTTTCCTTCAGGTAAATGTCTACATTTTCACTTTATTCATTTTTGAGAAATGGGTCATCATTCAACTGTGCAATTTATAAACATCTGTGTAATTTTCTTTTTAGTAGAATTGCTCCTCTCTTAAGGGGTTATTAGGAGCCAGGTTTCTTTGATGTATTTAAAACAAAGATGTTTGGGGCTGGCTCGATGGTGTAGTGGTTAACTTTGCATGTTCTGCTTCAGCAGCCCGTGGTTCACGGGTTCAGATCCTGGCTGTGGACCTGCACACTGCTCATCAAGCCATGCTCTAGTGACATCCCACATATAAAATAGAGAAGGATTGGCACAGATGTTAGCTCAGGACCAATCGTCCTCACCAAAAAAAAACCAAAAAAACAAAAAAACCACGAAGGATGTTTTGCTTTGTCTGGCTCCCTTGCTTACCTCCTCCTCCCCTCTCATCTCCCCCACTTGAGATAATAATGAAACTAGAGGGAACAGAGCAAAGGAGTTAAGTGCTCTAAAAGTGTAGTATGGTAAGGCAGTATGAGTTTGGGTGTTAGAGTTGGGGTCGAGTACAAGTTGAACCAGTTCCTAATTTTGTCTCCTTGGGCAAATAAGTAGTTTAAATTGTCTAAGCCTCAGTTTCCTCATCTATAAAATAGCGATAATGGTACCTGCCTCTTGATGATTAAAAGAGGTCATATGACTACGTTCCCAGGCCTGTGTGTGGCAGCAACAAACACGCAGTCACTTATTGAATAAATGATCAGCCATACATTTTTTTTAAGAAAAAATATTGAATAAGTCATTTTATTTCACATGTTGTAACCATGTACTAGTTTTTTTATATAAACAGAACATTTTTCTTGACATTATAGGAGGTACAAATGAAAACAGACTGAAGTCTCTCATTACTAAGTACTTCAAGTCTCACTGGGGAATCTGACCTTGCCATCATAGATGGGACACTCTATGTACAAGTTATAACTATGTGCTCTTTGCATGTGTTTCTTCCTTCTCTCTCAGTAATGTCCAGCACACTACTGGGGAGCACAGAGGAGACATGGTTGCCCTCCTCCACTGCTCTGATTCTGCAGGAGACTCAGGCCTGTTAGTAGGGCCTCTCCTCGTCTGATGCACCACACAGCTGTTTCCACTCTCCTTGCCCCATGCCATTGTGTGGCAGGCCTCTTCCAGATCTCCAGCAAGAAAGGGGTATTCCTTCTAATCTTGTATCCCCAAACTCATCAGGATGAGGGTTCTGTTGTCCTTCCTCCCCAGAGGTGGCCCAGCATGGCCACACAGTCACATCTCACTGTGTTCTTTCCTGGTAACTCTCTTCCCTCCTCCAGACACAGAAGGTTCTATCCTTGGGGGATGGGGAGGGCAGTGCAGAAAACTGTCTCTCTGTAAGCCACCTTCCCCAACCTATTTTGCTCCTCGAATTTGCCTTTTTAAAACTAAGAGACTAAGAATTTGATGTCTTTGTTCTCTGCATCCTTTATGCCTGGGGTGGCTGTATATTCCTGTTTTCCCAGGTGACACCTTAGGTCCTGGTAAAATTATTAATAGCACCCCTTTGCACTCTCAAAAGTGGCCTAGTTTGGATGATATATAATATTGCTACCCTGTTTAGAGTGCCCCCTGCCTTGGTGCCCCCTGCCTTGGGAACAACTCCAGCTTCCTGAGTGACAGACATTGGTTCACTGGGAGAAATAAGCAGGGATAGGAGTGGAGGAAAGAAACACCTTTCCAGTAGATCCCTGATCAGTCTGCCAGCTAGCTGAGGAGTGGCAGTATCAGTTTCAAAACTGGCTCTCTTGGCTATTCCACCAGGGCGGCTGTGCACCATAGTACACAGTCACTGAAACGTAGGCAACCCTTGAAATCAGCTTCTGACTTTGTCTAGTGTCCTGCTTTAGCAATGACATCAAGTCCCCCTCCTTCTGTGCAGTCAGCGACTGGGTCTCTGGCAAGTCTGCTTCCTGTGGCATGTTCTCTTTCTTCACAGGGCTACACGTTTGGCAAAGCTGGAGAGATCCTCACCAAGCGGCTCCGATACCTGGTTTTCCGATCGATGCTGAGACAGGTATGTCTGTTGAGGATTGTGCCCTGGGCTGTACAGAACTCCACACATGGGCCCTGTGGTCTCAGGCAGTGGGAGCGCTGTCAGGTTACTGGGAGTGAAGTCCTGTATTGATCTTCCCTCAGTCTCATCTCAGAGATGTAGCTGAACTGCCCCTCAGGTCAGGCGCAGAGGCCCTGCTGTCTGTGGGCTGGCGGTGGGCACAAGGAACGGATCACTGGAGACAATGAGTCTCCAGAGCAGGTTCACCTCCAGCCTTTGTCTCAGCAGCTGTAGGCAGAGTAGGCAGAAGCCATCTTCAGTACCCTCGTCCCTTTCCTCTCTTTCTTTCCTTCTTCCCCTTGGGAAACTCAGGACACTTGTGTTTCTTCCCACCAAGAGATGCCCTCTGTACCCTTTCTTTCCACAAATCAAAATTCATCCCCAGGGCCCAGTTTCTCTGCTGGGGCTGGACTGATTTACTCATTCAAGCTGCAGTGTTACTAGCTGATAAGGACTTAATGGAATGCCTCTCACATTTTACACCTTCAGAACTCTAACAACAGGCAGATGTGAATGTTTTTCTGGGGAAATGGGGAGGAGGGATTCTGGGGATGTAACCCAAAGCAGCCAGGTCAAAGGGGAAAGTTTCTTTAAGAATCATAAAAATTTTGTATGTGACTTTATAACTTTCCATTTTAAAATCACTAATGACTTGGCAGTGAATCAAATGATGCTCTAGAATGATTCTCTGGACGTGGCAGGGGTAATTGAACCGTGGCTGAGAAGTGTCAGTTTGCTGTATTAGGATTTCTAGATGACATTCACATTTTCCCAGCTGTCTTCGGTACCTCAATCTTTTCCCACTCCTCCCAACACTACTTAGAAAGAAGACATATTTATTGAAATTGCCAGTTAGACTGTAACAGAGCCCGCCTTCAATCTAACGAGTGAGAGAGCACTGTTTGATGGCGGGCCGTGTCCTAGGACTCTCAGTCAAACCATATTTGTAACTAAGATTCCACTTAGGCTTATGGCTGACCTTGGTCGTGAGCCAAATGCCCCATTACCCCCCCCAGGCTCCAGGCCAACTCCTAGGTCCATTATACTTTGGAAGCTGAGCTGATGGTTTGTGTAATGCCCTCTCCATAAATGATTATGTCTGGCTATCATACATTAAGTGCCTTCTGCTTAAAATCATAATACTAAGTGTTGTAAGGCATTCAGAGCTGAATGGTCCCTGTCTTTAAGGAAGTTACATTCCAGTGGAGGAGGCACTTAAGCACTTAATAATTTTAAAAGCAAATTGATACAAAATATAATCAATTATGATGCTTTGTTTTTTCTTAAATATTTTGGGTAAAAATGATAGATACTGCTTTAATGCGATTCACCAGTTCAGATAACTTCTTAGGACCATAGTTATCTTTGTAGCAGACATAAATTCATACTTCAAACTCACAATCCTTTTAGTATTTGTATATTTAAAAATGTAAGTGACTTTACAAAGAAAATCCCATTTTATGTTGAATGTTAAATTTTAATGTAGATTTTTTGATTTTTTTAACCCAATTTATTTATTTTGCCCTGAACTACAGTTATCTAACTGCTTATTCAACTTCTCTATCTGGATGTCTCATAAGCATGTTATACTTATTTCCTCAGTTGAACTTGTGACTCTCCCCTCGCCACAGGGCTTACTCCTTACCTGGTCTTCTCCTATATCAGTAAATGGCAGCTCCATTCTACCAGTTGTGTAGCTAAAAACCCTGGAGTCATCCTTGATTCCTCTCTTTCTGTTTCATATTACAATAGCTTCCTAACTGGTCTCACTGCCTCCAACCTTAACCCAATCCAGTAGGTTCACCTCCTAGGAGCCACAGCCTTTCTTCTAAGATATAAGTCAAAACATCTCTCTGCCCAAAACCTGCTGAAAGCTACCCATATCTCTGAGAGTAAAATCTGGAATCTTTATAGTTCCCTATAAGGTCATAAATTATGTGGCCCCCCATTGCCTCTAAGACCTCATCTCCTACATTTTCACACCTTTTTCAATACACAGTCTACTCTATACACGCTGGCTTAGTGCAGAAAGGTATGAGAGGGAGAGAGTGGGAGAACCAAGTGAGAATGGAAACCTGTTCAGAGGAAGAGGCAGCTTTTACAAATTCACACAGCTTTTAAGGCTAGTGGCCACCCTTAAGGCTTTCTTGCCAGTGCATGAAGAGAGCAAGTATGCCTTTGCCTCAGGGCCTTTGCACATGCTGTTCTTCCTTATCTCAGATATTATCACCCCTCTCTTCATTCAGGTTTCTGCTCAAATGTCACCTTAGAGAGGCCTTCTCTGTCCCCTCCCCAATCTATAAAATAGTGTGTTTCTTCACTTTTTTCCTTCTTATCCTGCTCTATTTTTCTTCATAGCATGTATTACCACCTGGCATGGTATATATTAATTTACTTGTGGCTTTCATCTCTAGAATCTAGGCTTCACAAAAGCAGCAACTTTGTCTTCTTTGTTCACTGTTGTATAGATCCAACGCTTACAAATCACATTTGGAACAAAGGAGGCACTCAAAAAAATTTTTGACAAGGGAAATTATTTGTGTTTGTCTAAGTCCCTTTCTCATCTGTTGAGTGTCAAATCCTGAGTGCTATATGCAAGAGATACAAGTGATAATCAGAACAGACCCTGTCACTGTCCCCGGCACCAAGAGTTTCATAAACAGGGCTTTAAGATCCTAACATCATTTTCTGTGCCACAGGATGTGAGCTGGTTCGATAACCCTAAAAACACCACTGGAGCATTGACTACCAGGCTTGCCAATGACGCAGCTCAAGTTAAAGGGGTATGTGCCTCCTTTCTGCTGGTGTCTGTCTGAATTGCCCATTTTGAATCTCAGCGTGAAACTAATTTTCTCATTACAGGTGCTAGTTCTCATCATCATTAAAATGTTAAATAAATATTTAACCATACATCATGTGCCTTATAACAAAAATGTTAACTATTTAAACATCATATACTGTATAGTATATAGATAACTTACAAGTCTTCTTTTGTTATTTGCTATCTTATTCATGCCATTAACGAAATACACGTGGAAGGATAACTATCTAGAAAAGGAAGTATTTATCAGCATATCATGTAGGATCAGACTGGTTTAATGTTCAATTAATCAACAGAAAATTGTTATTGGTACTGAAAAAACAAATGTGTAGCTGCTGTAAGAAAGTTTAGGGGAAGTACAGTTCAGAAGAGGGGCAAGAAAATCTAAAAGAAGGTTGAAAGAAACAAAAAGCACATGAACAAATTAAAGCAAAGGTAGAAGAAACAACTTTATCAGATTAAACCTTAAATTTTCTACTACATGAATCTCTTTAATTGATATAACTAGAAACTGTTGAACCAGGAGGTTTGATTTGTGGACGAAGTGACAATGTCTTCTACAACTACAACTGTCAATAGCAAAAATCCAAAAGGTGATGCAGAATTTGAAAAAAGCCATGTGACCTCTGCCCTGTCTTTCCCTCCCGTGAACCTTATAAATCTTTATTTTTTAATCTTTCTGTACTGTAGTACTATAATAATATTCCTTCTGTATAATATATGGGGCTTCTGTAAGAATAAATTAGCTTATAAATGTGGAAGCATACAGAGACCTATAAAGTTGAAATATAAATCTAAGGAATTTTGGTTTTAATATAAATTCTTTTCTTAAGCCAAACAAGTCAATAAAAATTGAGATTTAGATCAAGTTGTATAGAACCTCACTCAACTAATGGGCACTTACTGAAATAGCTTTGAACTTCCTAAATCAGACAACAACCCTGGCCTTATGGAGTCTACGTGGTATGTCAGATCGTCATCAGTGCTGTAGGAAAAAAATGTCAGCACAATATGGCAGTAGGAGGTTGCTGGTTGCCAGGAAGGAAGGCCTCAATGATATGGTGATATATGCAAAAGGCATGATGGAAGGAAAAGTCCCAGCCCTGTAGATGTTTAGAGAGGAGCGTCCTAAACAGAAGGACCAGCAAGTGCAAAGGCCCTGACGCTGGAACATTTCCACCATTATTCTCAAAACAGAAGGAGGATAGTGTGGCTGGAGTAAAGTGAGTGAAAGGAAGAGTCCTAAGAGTTGAGGTCAGCATTATATCCAGAATTAGATGGGAAATTGTCTCAAGCATTGTTGAGTTTTGAACACCAGAGTGACATGATCTGAAATTTTTAAAGGCTGCTCTGTGAATAGGCTGCAGGGGGCAAGGATGGAGGCAGGGAGTCTATTGCAATAATCCAGGGGAGGGATGATAGTGTTTCAGACTAGGATGGTCACAGTGAAAGTGATAAAAAGCAATCAGATTCTGAAGGTACA